GCTGTCGGCGCAGTACCCTCTCTGCTGAGTGCCCCCCACTTCCTCTCAGACACGACTTAGTTCTTCTCGGGCACGATCCTTCACTTAAAGTCTGTCTCTTACAGATGCCTGTCATTCTCTGTCGACATTAAACTTACTCATCCCAACAAATGACAGTAAGCCATGTCAAAATAAGTTAAAAGCGGGGTATAAAGCATTTCTTAAAACCAGGGTTCTAGACTCACAGACATAGAAAACAAACAGTGGTTCCCAAAGGGAAGAGGGTGAGGAGGAATAAATTAGAGGTTGGAAATTAATCGACACTCTACTATATATAAAACAGAAAAACAACAAGGACCTACTGTAGAGCACAGGGAACTATATTTAATTTCTTGTAATAACATAATGGAAAAGAAACTGAAAAGAAAATATATACGTGTGTCTGTGTAACTGAATCACTTTGCTGTACACCTGAAAGTAACATTGTAAATCAACTACACTTCAATACAAAATTGGAAAAAAAAAAAAAAACCAGGGTTCTGTTAAGCTACCTTGCATGACTGCACAACTTCGCTGTGTTAGGAACCGGGGGACAATGATGTCAGTGGAAGGAGACAGCTACGAAAACATTCCTAAGTGTCATAAAGAATTAGAGTCACACAACAGAAGACAGCCCAGGCACTGGGAGGACAGAGAGGAAGTCTGGCGGCCACCCCGCTCACCCCAGTTCAGCCCCAAGGCGCCGGGTTAATTTCGGGTCTCTTCACTTTGTCTTATGTTCTCTCCTCTGTCCTCCGGATGCCCCCCTGTCATTGCCAAGTGACGGTGTCACGGCATTCACAGCCACACATGCACAGTTCCATGTCCCAAAGTGTGTACTGCCTCCTGCCCTTGACCTCCCAGGCCACCCAGGACGGCACTGCTGAAGGAATCCTCAGAGGGGGACACAGAGCGAGAGGAGCGGCATGGGGTTGTAGAGAGGGGAGGAGAACCACCAGAGGCAACTGCAGAGGGAATGTGTTAGGATGGCACCCAGGGCTTCTGTCCCCTTGTAAGGACTATGTGTTCTGAGGTGTAAACAGGGAACTGGCAGGTTCACACCACTAAGGAAACCAGAGAACTAACATAAAAGAGAACATGACAAACGCGCTTGTGTTTTATTATATAAACCCCTAATTAATTACCATCATTATAGGAATCGTTTGTATCTAATTGCCAGGTAGTTCAATATCAATGAACAGAACGTAATTTGCATCATGTAACTGTGCCCTAAATTTCATCCAAAAGCTTTACCCTTTGGTACTTAATGTTCTAAGTTTATTGCTCAGGAAGAGAGCCTTCACAACCTAAAATTAACAGAATGTTTTCAAAGCAAAAATCCAGCGGTATTCTTTTCTCCTATCCCAAGTTTCCTGCTTTCCAGCTTGCCTCCTAAGTTCCAGGAGAGCCATTACCAGGCTTCTAGATGTTCTTGGTGGCATGTACACCGCTAGGGCCATTCTGCAGCTTCGAGATGGCCACAGCAACCATGCTGGTTACACAGCAGTTCACTTAGTCACCACACGTGTACTGAGCTCCTGTGATACGCAGAGACCAGGTGCTGAAGCTGATGCAGAGAATAAGACCCAGCCCTGCTCTCTGGAAGTTCAGTGTGGAGCTAATGCCCATTTACCCTCCTGGCTGGGTATTCCCACACGTCCCATAGCACTGATTCGTAGCAATGCTATATTTATCACTTAAAGAAATACTTTCTTTAAAAATGTATGTGTGTATATGCATACACCAGAAGTGTACATTCCAGCTATTTAATGTATATATTTTGCCTGTGTTCCAAGTGGTGTTTTACACTCTTAGCCCTTTTGAGCTAGTGCAGCAGCCTGGACGGGTCCATCACCCCTGAGCCTTAGAGCACAAAACCAGAAAAGCTCTCATCTAGTGAGGGGCGTGGGCCACGCTCTCCTGAGCTCTGCGTCTGTGTGCAGTGCACATAGCTTGTTTCTCTATGGCCTCTCTTTCCACCATTATTTTGTATTCTGGTTCATAGCTTTGACTCACAGGGGTTGTCAAAAAGCGTGGGAGAATGTCAGGCCAGTTGCAAGCCAAGGAAGACCGTCTTGCTGGATGTGAAAACACAGGTTTTACAAGAACTCCATGTGCCTTGAGGAAATGGTTGAGGAAACCCAGGGTAAACATCAAGAGGCAATGACTTCATAAACATGATTATAGTCTGAGATGATGAACCAACAATCAGATGAAAAATAGCTGGAAGAAGTGATGGGTACTGACATAACCTGACTTCAGCATAAGCACAACGGAAAACCATTTGCCAGTGTTTGATGCTACAAGTACCTCCTCCATGAGGAGTCTGCTATAATAACTCATCCGACATTGAGTCAGTTAGCTTTCCTATTTTCAGAAAAGAATTCCCCCATGCTAAATGTGTTTGCATGCAGTGATGGTCAGTGCTTTCAAGAATCTTTAGACCCTGGGTCTTATTAGAGCCCCCTTTTGCTTCTACCCACGCTAGCAGTAGGATGGCTTTCCTACCCACCCTTCCCTTTCCTAGCTACACTTAACACCTCAGAGAATTCTCTCGACATGGAAGGCACAATAGCTTTAAAAATTGCCCAGTAGCTTTTGTATTCGGGAGAGAACTCAAGACTGGAGTATAAGACTGAAATCACCTGGCCAGGACATGGCAGAAGAGATCTTAGCTTCAATAATAATAAAAGCACATGGCAATAGATGTCTCTTGCCAGGGCCACCTTGTACAGAACAGAACCAAAACATTTGCACACTCTTTGTCGTAGTTGAGGTGGCCTCGCATTGCTAACTTTTCCTTGGCTTTGGAAGTCAGATAGCCAGGCTTGAATTTACTCCAGGGTTGAATGTCAACCTTTTGAAGTCTCTTAAAAATCAAAGAGGCAAAAAGAGAAAGGGGAGAATAAAGACCTGACAGTGTGCTCTGCCTCCACCGCCTCTGAATTTAATTAGCAGTTGTTTTGTGAGAATGCTGAGGATACTCTGCCTGTCAAGTCACAGCCAAAGGGGGCGTTTCCGTGTCAGTACACTGTCGCCATGCCAATCATTCTGTGGGTTTTTAACACTTGTTTTTGACCCTCACCTACACACAGTGAAAACAACGCTTGGTTTCCCTTGAAGATTTGTTTGTACTTATACAATCTTAACCCCAGAAGTAGCCCCTTGATTCCATTATCAGTGTTCTGTATTCTCAGGTTTTCCAAAAGTCTTCATCTTTTGTTCCTATTAGAATTTTTTTTTATTGAAGTATAGTCAGTTTACAATGTTGAGTCAATTTCTGGTGTACAGCATCATGTTTCAGTCATACATATACATACATATATTCCTTTTCGTATTCTTTTTCATTATAGGTTACTGCAAGATACTGACTGTAGTTCCCTGTGTTACATAGTAGGACTTAGTCATTTATCTATTTTATATATAGTTGTTAGTATCTGCAAATCTCTAACTCCCAGTTTATCCCTTCCCACCCCTTTATCCCCTGGTAATCATGTTTGTTTTCTATGTCTGTGAGTCTGTTTCTGTTTTGTCAATAAGTTCATTAGTGTCATTGTTGTAGAATTTAAATGGAAGAAAGAGATGAATAAGTGAAAGACTCTAAGTAAGGTGAGAGGTTGCGTGGGATGGATTCTGCAGCTGGATCGTTTGGTTTTGGGCGGTTCTGTCTGGGCCAGAGAGCGAGGAGAGAGGCTGCTACCCACAGATGCACCCCAGGCCCGGCAGGGGTCCCCAGAAACTGAGCTGAAGTGGTAGGGATTAGAGTCAAGCTGAGGGAGGGGCAGGGGCAGGATTTAAGAACAATCCAGAGCCAATAAGACCCTGTATTTCCTGCCTCTCGGGGTGGATGGCTCTGCTGCCCAGGGTCTCGGCCCTGCTGTGCTGTTTGCCAATTACGGGCTTGCAGGAAAGAGCCAGGAAGAGTCCCAGCAGACACCCAGCTGACAGCTGATTGTGGAGAGGACTGTATGCAAGGAAGTTTACTCTTACATTCTGTGGCTGAACTGTCTCCCACACATGCATTAATCTTTATTACGCATCTATTATGTTCATGGATGTATGTATAAGCCACTATGCCAATGGCTACTGTCAGATGATAAAAGATAGAGTAAGATAGTCATAAATCGGTATTTTGCCCTCCTGTTAGGCCAAGCCTGTGAAATCTATAAAGCGTTGTTTGTTTCCATCAGATCAGGTGTTTTTGTTGGTTAGTAATGGACTTAGCGAAAAGGATCATTCCAGTGAGACAGATCTTTGTCAGAAACTATAAACACGGGTGGAGAAATAACATAGGGTGCATACAGGGATGTATTCCGGAACATCACATCAGATAGAGGAAGGAGGGTGTTTGGGGTGATGATTTCAAATGTTTTAAC